ACTTTTATTAAAAAGATATCCTGGTAAAGTAAAAGATAACAGCCAGATTGCACAGTCATCTTACAGAGAAAGGGGAAAATTAATCTTAAATTTCCACAAATTTAAAAAAAGTAAATTAAAAAAATCTTTAGAATCACCAGTACTAAAACACAACAGCAATTTAAGTGAAGTAATATAGCTGCCATTTCAAATTTCCTATTTCACACTGTGATGCTCACTGAGACATTAAGCAGACATACAGCATAAAGAACTCATTACCATTCCAGCAAGTTTTTATCTTGCAAGAAGCAGATGTAGCTCTCATAATAACCATAATGCACTACTGAAATGATCCATGATACACTAATGCCAGCAGCATTGCTTGCTTCATCACCCTCGATTCACAGGTATTAACAGCAAGTATTAACTGTCTTCTCAATTATGAGTCTACAGCTGGCCAACATACAGCTAAAACCTGTGAAAACTGCAGAAGTGCAGGATGAACATGTACTATAGCAAGAAGAACATGTGCTGGTCTTTTCTTATTGCTTGCTTCCCATAGACACAGGTACAGTTTATTTATGGCACATCACCTATGTAGATTTAAGGAAAACACTATTTGTTGAGATGCCAAGTGGTAAAATGCTTTGCATATTTAATATTTTGGGATGCAGATGCACACCTATTCAGAAACTAGTCAATGAATTTTCTTTTTTATTCTGTGTGATGAATACTGAACTGGATTCCATTTTGCCCCACTGCCCCCGATTTATCCACTATATATACACATTATCACACAAACACAATTGGTCACAATAGCGTATCCTGTCCTCTAATAAACCGTCAACCGCTAGGTAAGGTACAGGCTCCAAAGTAATGCACACAGGGAACATAGTTCCATACAGTATACTAGCAATGCAATGGCGGGGAAACATAGTAAACAAACAGTGAAGAAATAGAAAGTATTTAGAGAGGCTTCTTTGTAGATCATATGATTTATATTCCATGCAACTCAGCTGCATGTAAGCTTTTCCCTCCTATTCACAAAAAGTTAACACAAAAGGTCTATTATATGACAAGAACGATAATCTCCAAACACTGCCAAATTTGAGTTTGAAGATGCAGCTTAACATTATTCATCTGGTCAAGTACTACACATGTTTCAGACCATTTCTTGCCAGTTTTCCACTTCCATTTTTCCTATATTTTACATTCCTATTATTGTGGTCTTCCACAAAATACTTCCCCCCCCCCCAATCAGTTCTATAGCTGGCTTGCTGTTAAATGGCTAAACAAAAGTTAAGGGTTTGTTTTCTTCACCTGGTATCTCTCCATTCTTTCATTCTCAGAAATAATAATAGCAATTACAGCTTAATTTTTCAGAAAGTCTTCAGATCAATATTTCCTCCTTAAACAAACAATTTCATCTAGATATTAACCTTAAAAACTTCTAAACCCAAGATCATAGTTACCAGATCTGGGCAGGAATGACTAAATTATGGAAAGTGAAACTGACCGCACAACTGGTACAAAAAAAATGAATGACATGAAGAGGAAAAATACAAATATCTGTCCTATTAAATCAAAAAAGTAGAAAATTAGCAGAAACTAAAAGTGATCCTATTTAAAGCAAAACAGAACAATCCAGATAAACTGTATAAACCAAGAAAAACTCCCCATATGTTCCTTAGAACTATAGTTAAAACTATGGACAGATCACGTTTATTTTTAGAATAAACCACCCATGGCTTACTAAAACATTTCCTCCCTAACCAGCAGGGAGGCAAGCTGCTCCCTGCATCATACTGTGCATGGGGACCTGAAGAACACTGGTTTAGAAAACTTGTCTGTTGTCATTTGTTGACATGAAAAGGCCAGGAATTGCAATCAGAAACAGTTCTAGCAAAATAAGAATAAACACCCATTTGACAAGGTACAAGAGGTAAGACTTATTTTGAAAATTGTGGTCTTCTCTTCTACAACATCCCAAAAGAAATAGATTTTTATGTTTTTGCAATGCTTTTACTCAACATGCACAATAGAATCAGTCAGGCTTGCTGACTCCCAAAGGAAGGTGTAAGCAGAGAAATAATTGTTCTCTCTAAATACTAAAAAAAAAAAAAACAAACAAACAAACAAAAAACCCCCATAAAATATTAACAATTTAAAGCCAAGTGGCAACAAGAGAACAAGAACAAAATTATGTCTATCAATAACTTTTCAAGAATTACTTTGACCTATTAACCAAAGCTGACCTTCTACCTATCTTTAAAACTTACAGAAGGCAGACTTAGATTAGATATTAGGAAGAAAATCTTTATAGTTAGGGTGGTGAGACACTGGCACAAGTTGCAGAGAGAAGCTGTGGCTGCACCATCCCTGACAGTGTTAGAAGACAGGCTGGATGGAGCATGGAGTACCTGGTCTAGTGGAAAGTGTTCCTGCCCAGGAGCTTTAATGACGCTTCCAACCCAAACCATCCTATGATTCTGCGATCAAATTCTACAGTTACACTCCAGAAGACCAGTAGGAATGTATAATTCCAAGTAGTTTTAAGACACTTGAAAGAGTTTCAAGAACATCTAACTATCAGCATTTTAAATAAAGCAACAGACAACACCCATACAGGTTTCTTCGAGTCCAATAACTAAGTTATTGGTGGTCTTAAGTTTCAGTTAAGTTTTGTCTCAGCTTTATACGGAAGTAACTAAAAGTATAAAGTGCTTCCTGCTGAAGAGGGATACATACCTACAGATCAGAACTCTAGGTAATCATTAATTAGTAAGAAGGAACACTGGTAGAGTGTAATGTATTTTACACAATAAAAATACCTTAGCAAAGAATTCACAAGGACTGCACTGTAATGACGACCTTTTTTTCTGATGTTTTCAACACTAATAATAATATGACTTAAACAGAAGGCGTAAAGTTTTCAGACCAAATTTAAAGAAGGACTGCAATTTCTTCACTAATCTTTTTGAGATGCAAGACTTTGCATGCTCTCTTAAATTTCCAAGATGATTGCACAGCTCTCCACGGCAACCCAGGATGCATGTGTCCTGCAGCCTGCTGGCAAAAATTTAACAGGAACAGCACATGAGGCTAAAAAGGCTTCTAAAGCAGTGTATTCACTGCTGAAAGGCCACAACTTAAAGGTGGGTAAAATTTGTATCTGCAGACAGGTCAATAAACGGTTAATAAAGAATTCCTGATTAACTATGCTCCTCTGTTGAAAAACTGAATAAGCACAAGAAGGGGAGTAACTCGACTAGCAAGACTACAGTCTAGTGGATAAATAGGTTGAGGTGTGGTATAACTTCAGTTTAGCTATGCCACAACATAATGTCTAATTCAAATTCTTACAGTTTACAGCTTCCTCCCTGTACACAGGATGCTGCAGGTCCTTTGGTTCCTGCTATATTAAGAGACTGTTTCACTCCTCCTTTAAAATTTCATTTACTATTTATCATCCTTATCTATTTTGTTAAGGATAACACAACCGATTAAAGATATCTGATGCAATGCTCTTTTGCTACAGATTACACTTCAGAGGCACACGGGTGACCTCGCAGGGCTATACAGTCAGTAAAAGCTGGTGGGATCGCTGTCTGGCTTTAGCTTCCAAAGGAGCAAGTTCCACGACTACCAGAAGCATCACTTCCAGCCACAACACCGCACTCGACGTACAAACACCAGCTTTCCGAAGCTGACCAAGTTTCTCCGCCAACACGTCAGGCCGCTCAGAAGCGGCTCGCCGATACAGGCCCCGCAGCCCTGTGAAGCCGGGACCGAAGGAGCTGCCGACGGAGCAGATGCTGACAGGCAGCGCGACCCGTCGGGACGCCAACTGCCCGCCGCAACACTTCCCTCCCGGCACCCGGCGACCACGGCGCGCCCCCCGCCAGCTTCCGGGCCTGCGCTCACCTGGTGCCGGCACGACCGCTCGCTGAGGGGCTGCCACGGCCCCGCTGCCGGAGCGTCCCCCACAGCGCGGCGGGGAGGGCGGGGCGGGGTGGTGCCCACCACGCGCAGCCGCTCTTCGAACCCGCCAATCGCCGCCCGACCGCCCCCCACAGGCGGGGCGCCCAACGGCTGTGCTCCGCCGGCGGCAGCCCGCCCCCCGCCGGAAGGCCGCATCATTCATATGGACCAATGGGGAACGAGGGGGCGGGCCCACAGCAGGGACCGGGCAGGAGGCGGAGGGAGACCTGCGCCCCGCCCCTCCCCTCCCCTCCCCTCCCCTCCCCTCCCCTCCCCTCCCCTCCCCGGGGCAGGGCCCGCCGCCTGGCTGGGCTTGCGGGCGTGTCAGCGGGCGCCGCGCACCTGGTGCTCCCCGCAGCGCCATGCGGTGCAACTGGAAGCGAACTGCTGCCGGGCCCACAGCCTCCGCCGTAACACACTCCTCTACAGCTTCATAGCTCACAGAGAACGGAACTGCTCAGCCACACAGCTGCTTGCAGGACACTAGTGCTGTAAGTGCCTTCTTTCCACTTTTAGCGGCTGCGGTGTGTGTGAAACTAGGCAGTTCAGGAAGCTGACAAGACTGGCCATTACTTTAGTGTCGTACTAATTCTGTGCATTTTATCTGATGAAATAAAGGGGTAACAATGAAATTAAAAGCAAGTTCAGGGGGTTTTCTCTGGTGCAGAAGCTGAAGAAATGCAATATAGTGGGGACACAAAAGCTAAGAGAAAGTGTATTACTTTTTTTAAAACTGAGGTTAAATTCTACTACCGTTGTTAGCTCCATCACAAAGGGTTTTACTCTATAATACTACAGAAAGATTAAGAACAAGGACAAATACCTGGTGCTAAGCTCAGTTCTCTTTTTCACAATGCTTTTGGCATTTGTGTCTACTTCCTCCGGTCATTAAGCCAGACTTTCCTAGTGTAAATAAGAAAACATCCAAGTCAGGTGGATAGTCCTAAAAAGCCTACAGTAGGTAGCAGACACAAGCACATTTTATTCTCAGATGTATTTAAGTATAAAATAATTATTACTCATACGTTACAGAGTTTGATCAATGCATTAATAAAAGCTCTACCCAGAAGTGGAGAAGCAATGGCATGTATATTTTATGTAAACTGGACATGGAGAGTACAAAGAAGTGCAAACCATCAGACTGGATGAAAACTCAAATGAATAGTTTATTTTCAGATGATAGAGGTTGTATCACAGATGCAACTGATGAGGAACAAGATGACTTACCATACGATGGAGATGCAGGAGTAAACTGTAAATACAATGATGATTCAGGTAATTTGAATGACTGTACTTGTACAAGAGAGATTTCTGGTATTTTAAACTTAGTCTGTTCTGAAGATAACAAAAACATAAAAACAGCAGCAAATTACAAAACTCATTCACAACCTGAAGAATTCTCCAGTCACCACTGCAGAGGTGCCGTAGGAACAATGGGAATTTCAGCTGAAATGCCTGGAAGTCAAGCTCCCTTTAAGAAAGAACTACCTATTAGTAGTTATAGTAAAGCAGATAGCAAAGAACATCTAACTCACTCAAAAATGTCCAATGTCCTCCTGCGTCATTTTTCTAAAGGAGAGTTAACAAGCACATATCGGTTAATTGAATGCGAGACAATACCAGAGACATCTCTTACGGAAAGTATCAATGACACCGTAAGCAAACCTGAGCCTTCAGAACATGTCAAAGGCCTTTTGGCACATGAACAGTGGGCAACTAACTCTGCAGAATATCACTTGGAAAAGCACGAGGAAGTAAATAGTGGTGATAAAAATAAAAATTTGCTCAATGAGAACAGACCTGTTTCAAAGAAACCTATTTCTTCTACTGCTAAGTGTGGGTACAAGCAAGAAAATTTACAATTAATTAATGAGAACAATACCACACACATATTTCAGAACATGAAAGAAGAGAGCACCCTGTTTAAGAGAACAGTTTCACCTCATCAGCTCAAATGTGAGCAAGGTCAAGCTCACTACTGCCTTCCTGACTTCTTCCAAGTTCCTTCAGAAGTTAAAGTACCAACAAGGAGTGACAACATTAACTCAGTTCCAACAACTGAAACAGCAAAATCCTTCCCTATTTCACTATGTAAACCAGTAACTGTGAAAGTTATAGAAAATAAGAACTATTTCAATTCTGCTGCAGTGGGGAATAGTGAAGAATCAGGCATTCCAGAATGGCTGCAACAGCTGGAGGTAATTAAAATGCTTTAATTCTTAATATTTGGTAAAGATTGCTTTACCATTAGAAGATACTGTGTCCAACTACCATGACTAGTTCATGCAGGCAGCCTATAGGTATCAGCAAGTATGTCACCACAGTCCACAAGCCAAATCAAATATTGTGGGATTGAATTTATATGAAATTTAGATTACCAAATATTTAGTGATGCTCTGGAGTGTTATTTGCAATTATAAAGCATCCCATCAAACCATTAGGATAATCACAATAAATTGTTATTTCCAGTATTTTGGTGAATTTGAACATCTACATGTAAGTACTTTAAAGATTATTCTTAAAACTACATTTTTATACTGTACCTGTGTTTGATAGGCATCCTTGCCTTTTTCACATAGAATCATAGAATAGTTAGGGTTGAAAAAGACCTTAAAATCATCCAGTTCCAATCCCCCCTGCCGTGAAAAGGGATGCCTCACACTAGACCATATCGCCCAAGGCTCTGTCCAACCTGCCCTTGAACATCTTAATACTCTTCAACTATTTCAGCTGTATTAACTGACAAGTCAATTCTTTTTAAATAATTAATTTGACAACATTTATTGTAGTAAATTTCTTTTAAAGTTTGTTAATAATTTGATAATCTCTTCTCCGTTTCATGCCATGGAGTTGACTGACAGAGCTATACAGATGCTTAAGTCCATTCCTAGATTGCTCTCTCAGTGAATCATTTGAGTTGTAACAAGTTTTAATACTTTTCTGGCTGCAAACAAGATGCTGACACAGCACCTTGACACCCAAAATCATATCGACCATCTGAGAGTGAATCCTAAGGTAAAAATCTCTCAAATAAGCTTTTTGTTTCCTTCTCCTTGATCTCTAGAACTATAAATAGTTCTCAAAACTATCTTGTCACCTTCATATTATACATCCCATTTATACAAATCCTGTTTAGATTTTCACAACATAGAGTTTAAGTATTTAAACAGAAAGACACTATACATATATCAAACTATAAACACAAATTATATGGGATTGTTATAATAAACATTTCATTAATATTAATAACTTGCATTGTGTTTTATTTCTAAATTTCTTGTTTATGTCCATAAGTGTTCTTTATATTTTTACAACCAAATTTCTTGTTTTAACAGGTACTTACTCAGTCAGATTGTCCAAATGCTAGCATTGCTGTTTACTCAGGAGACACTGGAATGCCCTCTGAAGTCTTTACATTACATGCTCCAATCCCTATACAATCTACACATGGTTTGTCTCAAGCAAGTAAATAATTACCGTATGCAAATTACTACTTTATGTAATTTATTAGCATTTATGGGCAGACTCTTTGGGCAGAAATTCCAATGGATTAATCTTCCCTTGTATTCTGTAGGATTACAGTATGGAACTACAGCATCAGCATTACCAGCAGTTGGGACAGTAGAAGCATACTGTCCAAATCCTTCTAATTTACTGCCAGAACTAACACTAGGAGAAAAGATGACTCAAATACTAAAGGATCAGACAGATGAAGTGATAAAGAAAGTAAGGGGCTCTGTTTCAATATATACCTTCTATTGATGCTCAGATTTTATACTCATTTGTCATATTCATTTTTAAAATCCTTAATAAAATTCTAATATTTTGTCTTGAAGGTGGAAGACTTCTCTAAGCATATGACCCAAGAGACATTACTTTTACAAGACAACCGTCTGGTAATTTATGTATTTTCACTTATCTGAAATGCACTTTAAATGGCTGTAGACTCAATGTGCAGGCAATATACTCCATCTTTTCATCAGAGGTGTTTAAAAATACTTTTTTTCTTCATCTCACACAAATTATGAGTTTAAAAGGCAATAATCAAAGTCTTCAGTAGGTGGCTGAATTTTTAAATCTCTTTAAGCATTACAATTCAAAACTATTAGCAAAAGGCATTAAGTTTCCATATAAGTTACTAATTTTGACATGCAGGGTGTCCATTCATAAGTCATGGGTTAGTATTTTAGTCATACACAACAGAGCAGCACAGAGTACTAAGTGGATATACAAGATGCAGTCCTGTTCCAATCCACAGCAGTACCAGAATTCTTAACAACTTCACTGTCAACAGCATCTAGCTTACCTAGCACAAGTAGCTATCACTATGGTGTGCTAAATCATAATGACAATTGCTATTGAATTATTTCTTATTGGTGAAGGCATTAAATCAATTGAAAAGATACCTTGATGCCTTGGAAAGGAATTACTTAACAGCTAGAGAAGAGCACCATAATTTGCAGCTGCAGAACTACAAGGACAAGTCTATCAACGTTGGAGAGTTTGATCCTGAAAGGTCAGAAGTGATAATTAGTACCTCAGTCTATTTTCTGCATTTTGAGTGTTTTACAACCAGTACTTCATTTATCCATTACAATTTTAAGTGCAAACATTATCTTAATACTATATGCAGTAAACGAAAAGTGATTGGCCAATATTTATCTTGGGCTTTATATATCCTAGTAATCAGTAGGCTAATTGATTAATTCAAATACTTCAGAAGGGCTCAATGAATTCCAGTTTATTTCATATCCTATGGGAAGTGTACTGCAATGCCCAATATGGTTATTATAGTAATAAATAAAGTATCAGTTTATACATATTTCACTGTGTATTGCAATTGCATTTAGAAAGTTGGAAGGGGAAATATTTAGACTTGGCATGCTGCTTGAAGACATCCAAGAACAAACTGATGACAGCAAATGCAACTCGTCTTCTTTGCTTACTTCCGATGAATTTGCCCATTCACCATATTCCCTTTGTGAGGTAATTCTTACTATTTCAAATCTACAGTTACTCTATTTTAAGTAAGAAAATACAAGCAGCTATTTTAAACTTTTACAAAGCTGTCTTTGCTTTGGGAAACTACCCACCATCATTTAGTTGAAAGAAATACTACTTCATCTGTCCAAGATTCTGAACTGCAAAATTACTGGAAGATCAAACATTATTATGCTATAGAAAACTAAGTTTACTGCCAAGGATGGCAGTATTTTGTCCTAGATCATAAATGCACAGAAAGTAATCTTACGGCCTTCTACACATCCGTAGACAAATATCAGCAAATGTTTTCATAGCCCATGTTTCAGAAAACATTTTTCCCTGAATCCCAAGTTAGGGACACTGAAAATGCTAGCTGGTAGAAGTCACATACTTGCAATGCAACAACCACATACTACCCCTCTATGCTATGCTTACTTTGTACAGAGCTCAGTAGTTTCAAGCACTGCTGATCCCCCAGAAAGAAGCAGCATTGAAAACTTATTTCTTTCCAACAATGAGGGAAAAAAAAGTCAGACAATTGATGTAATCCCACAGACAAATCAGTTTTCTTCAGAAGGTGACAAGTGTAATCTCTGCCTTCACACGTAAGTGAAAACTTTGAAATATCTATCAGTTTTTATAAAAGTTTATCTAAAATTATTTGCTGAATATAGAAAATTCAGCATGTCTGGAATTTCTGAAATCAACAGGGATACTTCCAGAGCTCATAGCAGCGTTCCAGTATCTGAAGGGGGCTTACAGGGATGCTGGGGAGGGACTCTTCATTAGGGACTGTAGTGATAGGACAAGGGGTAACGGGTTAAAACTTAAACAGGGGAAGCTTAGATTGGATATAAGGAGGAAATTCTTTCCTGTTAGGGTGGTGAGGCACTGGAACAGGTTGCCCAGGGAGGTTGTGAATGCTCCATCCCTGGCAGTGTTCAAGACCATGTTGGATAAGGCCTTGGGTGATTTGGTTTAGTGTGAGGTGTCCCTGCCCATGGCAGGGGTGTTGGAAGTTGATGATCTTAAGGTCCTTTCCAACCCTAACTATTCTATGATTCTATAATTCTGTAACTACATACCCAAGAATTCCTTCCAGCCTGGCATTGCTACCTTTCTGGGTTTTATGGACCTCAAAGTATTTCCTGAAGCCAAAACACTACCATCAGTTTCACTAGGAGCTAAATCCTACCGAATGCACTGCATCATGCAAAATTCACTGACACTGAGAATGACACTGCCAGTAAAAGTTACTTGGCAATATTTGTGTGGGCTTTTTAATTAAACAAGAAAAGGGAGGGATGCAGATATTGACCTAATTTGCCATCAAACCTTTGTGAAGCAATTTTATGTACCATCTCTGCCCTTCTGGGAAGTTTTATCTGGGGTATTAATCATATCTCTGTGAGATTAGAAAAATAAAATTAATTTTTTTCCCTTAACCAACTGAGGTTACAAAAGAGAGGTGAATCAGCTTCCAGAAGACAAAGAGAGCCTCTGAGAAAAGGTCTGCTAGCAAATAAGCATTCTTCCAATGTAATGGTATGCGATGTGTTTCCATCCTCACTTTTTTTTTAACTTACATTATCTTATCCAGCTTTGAGATAACACATTTTTCTCTTCAGTAGTTGCACAGCATGATAGCTCATCTTTGTGGGTATTACAGCATATTGTAACATTAGAATCATAGAATGAATAGTGAAAACAAAACATTGCTGAATTGGTTTCCAAAGGAGAAATTTAAAGGACTCTCAAACATTTTAGAGATCTGTGATAAAATTGGTTTCCCTCAGGAAAGACTTAACTGTGTTTATTAGCCTGACTTTATTATTTGTTCAGAGAGCAAAAACCTTCAAACAATTGCTTGCCTTTAAACATATTTAAAACACAGAAAGATTCATTCATATATACTAATCTTTCTAAAAGCAACATGAAACCTGTCTTGAATTCGAAGTGCTCAGACAATAAAGTGGTCATATTCTTCCCAGTCTGCTCTACAGACAGAATTGTGAAAAGATAAATCAAATTGTAGACTTGATGGTAACTAAAAGCAATACAGAACTGATGTGCAAACACTGTGATTGTTTGTACTATCCTGTTTGATATGTCATACAGTTACAATACACAGTAATATAAACAATCATATATACATTTGGTTTGCCTTCTGTGTGCAACAGAGATGCCTTTCACCTGAGCAGAAATATCCTGCTGAGGGCCTTGCATGCCACAGTCAGGATACATCAAGTAAAAAATTTAATGCTGATGAAGATTCAAGTATGAATGGGTAAGTGCATCATGTATTTTGCCTTGTCATATATTTGGTTTCCTGCAGCTAAGTGAATGGATACATGCACGTACATTGATATGTCTCTATACTGGACCCTGCCTGAAACACCGAATGACATCTTTAATACAGATAAATGAGATGACAATCTTGTTTTTAAGTTTATCAGCAGATAATCACATAAGGTATGTGGTAAACCAGATGACCAGAGAAATGGCAGAGCTCCCATTAAAGAGAGGATTACATTCATATTATAAAGTATCCCATCTCAGTAGAATATTGGACCACCATAAGGTTTAGAGTGCTTAAGTGGTACAGAGTTATTTTAATAGCGTATTAAGAGAAGAGGCTTTGTCTTGGTTCTCTGTTGCTTCATGTCAGCATCCCAAACAGGGGTGACTACAAAGTGTTCAGCAACGTAAAATGTTTGAAGTTATCACTGTCATCAACTACCTCATAGGCCTTGAAAGAGATCATATGGCTACCTCTACGTGTATTACAGAGTGACCCTTACATTTGAAAAGTTTCAGTTATAGAAATCTCAGTGTGATGAAATAAATCTACATGTGTTATTTTGGAGTTTCAAATTTTGGCAAATCTCTAACCAAAGCTAGATCTCACCATACATGCAGCGTAGAACACAATAATATTAATCTAAATATAAATGTTAATCTTTATGTAGTAGAATTCACCTACTTTTTTTTCCCCCCCCACCTGTCATTTAAAGAAAGTTAGCTCCATTTCTGATAATTATTTTCATGAATTAGTAGAATACTTTCCAAGTAAATATGATGATACTGTATGCCTTAAGTTGAAAATAGATGTAAAATAACACAAACAAGGAACTTGGTTCTTGTTCTGGGAGAAAGTACATCTCAAATATTCCTCTTATTATCTGAAGGCAGTAAAATTAAAGCCTTAATAGCTCAAAGCTACCAAGAAACTATATAATCCTTACCATTGATATTTTGATGCAACATATATAAATACATAGGATTTTCATACTAATTTGCTATTCAGAGATATGATTATTAAAAGCTCTACTTTTAAGTACTTTTAACAGCTCTGGTAGTGGAGTCCTTTTGTCAGAATGTGTGCTTTAGCTAAAGGGGTAACAATTTCCCAATTGGTTAATTTTTAGTTTAAGCTTCTACTTAGCACTTTTTCAGATAACTGATACAGGTAGAGTTGTTTCTAAGGGTAAATCTGATTTCTCCTTAAGTAAGAAGTGATCAAACATTAATATAATATGCTTATAAGGCTCGTTATAAAGGTGTTAAGGTACAATTAATATTCTGTTTTCGTGCTCTAAGAAACACAAACATACAGGAAAAGAAAATCGGAACTTGTTCACTCTTCATGCAGAGAAAACCAACTGATTTATCAGACAGCAACCTGAGTAAGTAGTGATGGCATACAAAGGCCAGAACTGTGCTTCTGCCTACTACTGAATCATGTTCAATGCATACCTATCACATCTCAGCAGCTTGAATTTTTTTTTTGTGGTTTTAACAGATGTTACTGCTTAGCACAGCACAAGACACTGAGACAGACTAAGAGACAACAGACGTGCTGCAACAGAATTTCCAGTTAAATATGAGCAATAAAAAAAAAAGTGTTAACTCTGGGTCTAGTCAAACACTAAAAAGCAGTTTGCCCGAGAGAAGCCATGATACCTCTATTCTCAGAGATATTCAAAACTCAAATGGACAGAGTCCAAAGCAACTTCATCTAAGTTGTGTGCACACAATGCTTTGATTTTGCTTTTTCTCATTATTATGTACATATATTTCATATCCTAAAAGTGGGATTTAAAACATGGCAACTGAAAAATTTCACATCAGTACTTCCAGGTTTAGTTTTTGGATTCAGCATTCTTATTCTGCAAAAAATCAAAGATAAAAAAGTTTTCCTAAATCTTTGACCTATTCAGGGTTGACACAGGCTGAAAATACTCTTGTTCCTTAGTCCAGCCCCTAATAATATAAGTTCATTGAATCCAATATAGATCCCACACAGGCTGCTGAGCTGGTTACATCAATAGACAAGCCATCCCAGACTCCATGTCTTGGAGGTTCACTGAGAATCAGTTGGCATTTGTTTCTGTTATGGCATCCCAATCTTGTCTTTCCACTGCAGAATACTCCGAAGCAGTTAGTACCCCAAAACTAAAAAAAAAAATAATAACATGGGCTGTCCTAGATTCAGTTTTAAGTCTGAATATGTAGGTTATTCTTACCTTTCGTCTGCCTGTTGTCCTTGGCTTCTCTGCAATATCCTTTCACTTTAACGTAAAACACTAGAGGCCATTATTGTTAGTACTAATTTGTGCAATAGCTAAAGAGTACTGTACTAGATCTACCAAATTCTGCTGTCACATTCCTCTTAGGCTGCATTGTTTTCACAAAACTATGGAGATGAGAGAGCTTAAAAAAAAAAAAAAAAAAAAACAAAAAAACCCACCAAACACACACACACAAAAAACCAACAAAATCTGAAAACCAAAAACAAACCAACAAAAAATAAACCAAAAAAAAAACCAAACAAAAAACCACACAAAACACCAGTTCTCAGACTAGAAATAACCACCCCCAAAAAAAAAAAAAAAAAAAGAATCTACATTTGAGACAGTCTTTAAAATTCAGTCCTCACCTGTGATGGACAAAAAAGTACTACTTCAAATTGCAGCAGTGTTAGTAGCAGCAAAGTGCTCAGAAATGATGGCGCTGAAAGACAAATAATTACCTAGGTACACAGGCCAAAATTTCTACTATTTCAGACCTTTTTAATTTATTTTTGGGATTTAGGCAGCAATTCAGAAGACATCTCTGCCTACAATTCCTATAATGATTCACCAAACAAGGAACTTATGAATTGTGAAAATGGAAGATACAAAACATTCAAGAAAAGGTCATACGGAGAGAGAAGAGGTATAATATTCGCAAAAATATTAATACCTATGCAAAAATATTTTTAATAGTGTTTGGTTTTCTAAACATGTCTTTGTTTTCAGGGTTTAGATGCAGATGCCCTACAGGAAGCAAAGATCAATTTCAACTCAGGAATTACAAAGTCTGTTGAGTCTTGTGCCAAATGTAGAAATAAATGTTGGGGTTCATCTTATAAGTATGATGTGTAGTGAAATAATTACCTATCACAGGTTAGATTTCAAGAGGCAGAAGGCCACATTGCAACTATCAGGTCAAATTTAATTTGGTATAAGCAACCAGAAGTAACAATAGATGTGTACAGATCTTGTATATCAACATCAGCGAACCCAACTTTTACACACCTGGCCAAGTTTAGTCACCATACACACCTTACCCGATCTTCATGAGAAGAGTCCCTTCCATGGTTCATTTATGACAGGAAAATCTCATTTTGCAGTGCCATAAAGAATAATTTTTAAAATTGGGTATTACTATGCCAACTTTCAGTGCTAGCTGTTACCTAAAGTAAACAAGTACTAAAGAAGATTCTATCTCCACACTCAAAATTGTGTGACACACAAAGTCAAGAAAAGCCTTATTTTATAAATAATATTTATAACATTGAACGTGTAGCTTTTAAAGTCTCTTACCTCAGACTCCTCTCTACACCGTAGAAAAAATTGCATACAGAAAAATACAAATTTTCAGCAGTGGGAAGGAAGTACAAATTAGTTACTTCTTTGTATAAATTCTATAAACCTGTAAATCAAAGAAGTATTCATTTAATGATTAGGATTATAGGAGTCTGATTACATTTTGCCTCTGTGGTCTTTCACTGTATGAAATTAATATAAATCTTCGTACTGTTTACCACAGAACTAAATTCAACAGCAAACACAAAAAGGTTAATCTGTCCTCATTTACAGAAAGAACCATGTTTAAGTTTTATTCAGGAATGATATTTACTTGATTTTTTATGAATGCCAAATGAAGAAAAATTATAAATACCTAGCAAATTACTTTTTTTGTCTTTGTTTTAAACATGGCCTCAACTACTCCAGCTTATTCACAGCAAAGACTTTCCTCTCAAAAGGCTCAAAAAAATAAACAGCCACGTGAACTTGTAAACAGACTTTCTGCAAGGTAAGCTGTAGCAATAACTATATAGTACAACAGAAAATGCCATCATTGAAGATTCAGCAAGGAAAAAGCAACTCACCAGTATCAAACAGAAGGAAAGTTTCATCTTTGCAGTGTATGCTGTATATTAGAATTTTAGTCATTAGTGAAATGAAAACACTTAAGAATTATTTACACTTGCTATTAGGTTAAGAGTAGTTCTTGAATGTTTCTAATTTAAGGAAGAGTAAATACAAACTTCTTCAACTGACACATTTAGTAGTAAAAAAAAAAAATATTTCACTTGATTAAGAGGATGCTCCCATTCACAGATTAAAAAGCAGATCTGCATTAGTTAAAACTTGTTAAGTTCTGTTTGCTGCCATTTCTTTATAGGTAATAGTTCTATTTTAACTATTGTTAACATTAAATTATAGAGGGAGTCTGAGAAGTAAAATGGATTCTTAACTGTAGGCACAGACTAGACTGAAATTCAGGCAATTTTGTCACCATAGTTTTTGACAGCATTACTCAGGCATTTCCAGGCAATTGCCTGGAAACACAGCAGCTGGACTTGAGAATTAACACATAGACCACTCAGAGAAAGCACCAAGAACGCAATACTATTTTGAGTGATTTCCTGACTCTGCATCCTTGCATGTTTTCTATCTTACTGCAATACAGATGTAACACAAATTACAATGGACTCTGTTTTACAGTTAAATGAAAAATTCTACTCACTGTAAAATTAACTTGCTACCGAGTATGCTGTCAAGATACTTGTATATTTATTTCATATTTTAGAAATTCTTTGTTTACTAAAATTGTTCGTATTTATGCTATGCATCCTATTTTTAGGCAAAACTCAGAGGCTGCCAAAACCTGCTATTCAAGCACATATGATAAAATTATTCTTTCATATCACTGCTTACCCAGCAAGAAGTCTGGCCAAACCAAATCTGCAATCAACATCAGATACAGAAATGCTAATGAGTCCAATGCAAATGTAAGACTTCAGAGTGAAAATTAAAAGCCACACAGCTATCCTGGGAAGCTTTCATCCCCACATGATGACACAGTTGAACATCCCATTCTTAGCAAGTTGTCTATTACAACCTAAGCATGTCTAGTCCTTCTGAGGATAAGACAGGAGGGAGTTAAAATCCCAAGTATTTTAGCTTATGTATTAGTATGTTATTTCGTATGAGTATGTTACAGACTCTTTATGCAACTCAGTCCCTGCATAAATGGGAAAAGGAACAGAAAAGGATCACTGGCTCTTATTTCTGGAATTATATTTCATATACTGAAATAAAACTTCATACAAACCACTATCAAAACCTAAAGAAAACCTTCCCAATGCCACAAACATGCACCACACTGGGCTTCTTTACAAATGTGTAAACATCTCTCAGTTGAAAGGATTACTCAAAGAGAGAAATAACTAACAGGTACTTCCAACTTGAATACCGGAATGGTCTCACATGACTCAGAATTTTTTCTTCTCAACATGTATTCAGAGTGAAAACACTGCACAGAACCTTAAACAAACCTAATTTTCTATTCTACACCTATATAAACATCTGCCTGTAGTATTAACATGCTGTATTTTATTATTTCCCAGCAGATTTTACATTCTGCTCTGGATCATGCCATACAGACAGCAAACATTTTGAAGAAAGCTACCGAACGAATGGTACAAGCAGTTTCAGAAGATCTGGCTAAAGTTAAAAGGAAGCAGCTTTAATTACCCAGTTTCAAATGCTGTATTGTTTTGCTGGTTGATACTGAAGCATCAGTATCTCTACAAATATGAAATAATAAATACAAAGATCAGAAAGTCAGCTTTGTTAGTTGTTCTGTAGCTATCAGTACTAAACCAAACTAGAGCTTATTGGTATTACGTATGTTCACACTCGGTCTCTGACCTGGCAAAAGAATTCCTAAATGTACCGAGAGTCTTCAAGATGTTGGCTCATCCCCATAGCACAGCTACCTTCTCTGAGTTTTCATTTAAGATAGCGTAATAAAAATTGGCTTAAACAAGCAAAGGTAACTTTTTGACTTTATCCCCTCCCACCCCTCAATAAGCTCAGATTAAGCTAAGAATAAAGCTCAGTGATTACTACATATATTTTCTTGCCACACCTTAACAGCAGCTGCTTAAGCACAACAACAGGAAATAGCCTCTGCATCTGCGACATCAATAAGCATTATGCTCACATACCAAGTTGTAATTAATATTTGTAATTATTTTGTTTTTAGAGTGCCCTACATTGGGAGTTGTTTTTAAAGGACTTGCACATCTCAGTAACTGAGTATTACCATCTGTTGTGTAAGTACTCCGAACAACTACATTTTCTGTTTCTTCAATGCAGTGTCCTTACCCTGTCAGATATTTGGCTTTGAGAATTTACATTTTAGTAAGTAGGTTGGAGAATTTTAAGATGCTGTAGAAATACAGTGGGCCAAGAGGAGTCATATTACCTTCCTTCTGAAATCCATTTAACTGCAGTTATTACAAGCAGGTTAACAGCCTTATATTACCAGGGATGTTATTCACTGAAGCAATTTCCAAGTATATAAGAACTGATGGAAATCAAGTTAGAAGAGACTGTGCATTGCTTAAATAGACAGTCATTTTCAGGGAAACCGGAGTGGTTTCATCAGCTGATGGATACAGAGATAACTAGACTCTATTCATGCAAGCAGGGACAGCTAAACTTGCTGCTGTGTACCACTGGATTTACTAGCCTGAGTCAACAGCTTTTTGTTTTTCAGGGCTTCTTCCACACCTGACAGCCAACAATACTATTAACCTTCCTTTTCTTTGTATATCCTTATAACTTGATTTGCCTCTGCTTATTATCCATGGTTTTGCTTTATTTAGCTTAAGACAACAGCACAGGTGAAAGGCTCACTAGCCTTTGAAGTTGCTGGATTAATGTTTGGAATGTTCCTTAATAGGAACATTAATTTCATTGTTAAAGTAATTGCTATAGATTTCATAGATCCAATTAAAAAAAAAAAATTAATCTCTACCATAGAAATCTTCCCGCACCCCAAGAACAGCTAGACCTTTTGTTCATCCTGGGTCACTGTCTGAACCCGCTGTCCCAGATGTGACAGCAAATGCCCAAGAATAAAAAAACAGCAGACAAGCACATAGCGACATTTACTGAGAACATTCTCTGGGAAATTGAAAGCTCAGAGTCCTTCACCATCAACAGGAATATCTTTAATAGCCCCATAGAGATTTTTCTCCCATGTGTGCCAAGGTTTTTGCCCCTCCTTCCCTCCCAACCACCCACCCACCCACCCCCACTCCCCCCCCAAATAAAAAGTTTAAAGCATGTTATATTACTGCGCCATGTCTCACTTGTTTTCTCCTTGATCAAGGATCCTATTCTAGCCATTCTTGACATGGAAATTATTCCATACCTTTTCATCATCTCTGCATCTTGTCCAGATTTCTAGATTCAACTTAAGAAATATTAAAGGTATTTCCAAGTGCAATTTATCTAGGCGAATCAGACCAACATGTGCTTATGTGATTCTGGGCTCACATTTATGGGACAGGAAGCTATTTTAAGATGCATAATATGAAAACAGGAACTTTCAAAATTATAATATACCTTGTACACTTACTCTAAAATATTAGGGTTGGGGGGGAGACTTTTATCTTGATACAACTCTTGCCCATTCTTGATCTTGATAAAACAATTTTTGATCTAGAAAAGCAGCAAGAAGATCCTTGGGAAAAACAAGTAAGTATCTTTACAAGAAATCTGCTCCCATCACCACCACCACTCCCTTTCGCAAGCTCCTGTAACAAACCAGCTGTTTTCAGCTACATATCTCTGCAAGATTTCTCTTCTTAAAGCACCTCTCTTAATCCATCTTTGCAGTAAGGCTTGGCTTTGCTTTCTGGAAACAGCAGATGATGGGTTCAAAAGTCTTAACTCTTGTATTTATCAGCTATCAAATTTTGAGCTAGCGATAGCACTTAGACTATCAAGTGTCTGCTTTCAGCTTAGCTGCCAAATCCATAAAAGTAATCAAACATTTCAAGCTGTTATTTCTTCAACTCTCAATATCAATACAATAGATTCTATATACAACTGTATTTCAATTATTTCAGTCCTTAAGTAGGACACTTTGATATCAGTTATTATGTTCTGTATTGCTTTTAAGTTTTTGGAGTAGGAAAAAAAAATGCAATTACATATTGCTTTTACACTGAACTTGGGTTCTTCTTGCCAAAGCGTAAGGACTCCTAACTTTAATTTTTTAATACTGATTTCAAAGTGTGCATCTTCAGTAAAAAAGTGTTGAGCACTGCATCTCTTAAACACATACTTTTACTCTGGATTTTTACTGTGATATTTAGAGCCAGAAACTAGAATTCAGATAAACATAAGTTATCTCTGCTTGCTTTTTTTTTTTTTTATGTTTTGATGCACATGACGTTTAATGAACCAGTTAAGGAGGTGTCGTTCCTGAATTCCCACTGAAAATAAAGTCAGAATACATATTTAACTCACGTATATGCATTTGAAAGCTACAGCCACTTATCCTCATCACACACCATGTCCTGCAACATTCTAGAATCATTACATAGTATTATCTGATTTCATTCCTGTCTGATGCAGAGGGAAGGAATTTGACCTTTTCCACCTTCTAATTAACTTTGACTGAATTTATCTATCCAAAATATTCTCTTAACTTACTAGTTAACCTGAGGGCAAAATTAAGGGTAAAGAAACAAAACCACCTTTCTGCAAAACAAGAAGTTAATATCCTTACAGTTGGCAAAAACATAAATAGAAAGCCATGAGTGATCTCATCCTTTTCATTACAACATTTCTCTCAGATTCTACATACAACAAGCATTTCAAGGCACATCAATACAACATCGCTTTAAAAGATCCATAATTTAATTACTGAAGTAATTTTCCAAGACAAATCTAAGTATTACCAGTATTACAGAATATAATTTAGAACTTCTCTGATCCCCTTCAACACAATTTATGTATTTCTTTCTTAGTATGTAATGAAGTAGAAGAATACAGTAAATCTCTTGAATGCATCAAACTTTTGGTGTTTGGTTTACTTTTTGCTTAAAGAATCAAGCCATTTGAAAAATTCAACTACTTCCCTTCTTTTACTCTCCTTTTTCACTGCCTCCACTCCCTCAAAAAGGGATTTATAGAATCAGAATCGTTAGGGTTGGAAAGGACCTTAAGATCATCTAGTTCCAACCCCCTTGCCATGGGCAGGGACACCTTACGCTAAACCATATCACCCAAGGCCTCGTCCAACCTGGTCTTGAACACTGCCAGGGATGGAGCATTCACAACCTCCCTGGGCAACCTATTCCAGTGCCTCAGCACCCTAACAGGAAAGAATTTCCTCCTTATATCCAGTCTAAACTTCCCCTGTTTAAGTTTTAACCCGTTACCCCTTGTCCTGTCATTACAGTCCCTAATGAAGAGTCCCTCCCCAGCATCCCTATAGGCCCCCTTCAGATACTGGAAGGCTGCTATGAGGTCTCCACGCAGCCTTCTCTTCTCCAGGCTGAACAGCCCCAACTTCCTCAGCCTGTCTTCATACAGGAGGTGCTCCAGTCCCCTGATCATCCTCGTGGCCCTTCTCTGGGCTTGTTCCAACAGTTCCATGTCCTTTTTATGTTGAGGACACCAGAACTGCACACAATACTCCAGGTGAGGTCTCACGAGAGCAGAGTAGAGGGGCAGGATCACCTCCTTCGACCTGCTGGTCACGCTCCTTTTGATGCGGCCCAGGATACGCTTGGCTTTCTGGGCTGCAAGTGCACACTGCCTGCTCATGTTCATTTTCTCATCGACCAGTACCCCCAAGTCCTTCTCTGCAGGGCTGCTCTGAATCTCTTCTCTGCCCAACCTGTAGCTGTGCCAGGGATTGCTCCAACCCAGGTGTAGGACCTTGCACTTGACATGGTTAAACTTCATGAGGCTGACATCAGCCACAAGCGTGTTGAGGTCCCTCTGGATGGCATTCTTTCCCTCCAGCGTATCAACCGAACCACACAGCTTGCTGTCATCGGCAAACTTGCTGAGGGCACACTCAAGCCCGCTGTCCATGTCAGCGACGAAGATGTTAAACAAGACCAGTCCCAACACCAACCCCTGAGGGATGCCACTCGTTACTGGTCTCCAGCCGGACATTGGATTTATGCTAAAAATTTTGGAACTTGTATATTACAAGCAATTCAACTTCTAAGACAGACTATGTAGACACAATTATAAGGAAGTTGGTAAGAAACTAGGTTTATTTGAAAAGCTTTAGTAATAATCCTTGTATTATTTAAAGTGTAATTCAGTGCACAGTTCAACAGCATTTCTCCAGTTATTTATTGAAATTAGAGGTGCTTCGTACTTCCATGATTAACTTTGTACCTTACCCACCACCACCTAAAAAAAACTCTTGATTTTTCACAGTTACATACATTAAAGAATTCAGTGAGTTATTTAACAGAAAATATTACAGCTTGAGACACCACACTGTGAAATATATTTATCATAAACTCATATTGCCAAATTTTCTCCCAAAGCCTCTACATAAGAGCCTAGTCCCTTGATTCAGTCATTTGTAGAAATACACTCTACAACAGAAAGGTTCCACAGTTCTCAGACAATTCCAGTCTACACATAATCACAGTAACTTTTAGCATCATTTCTTAGGAATGAACAAGCCTTTTTGAAAAACCACTTACAGTGTAACACTGACTATACAAAATACAACCTAAGAGACACACAGGTTGATTTTACTGTCTACCTTCTTCTCCCCCACCCCAAAAAAAAGCAGCAAATTTAAATTATAAAGTGACATTCCATTAGTAAGAACCGTGTAGTGACCTGATACAGTATTTAGAACACTCAGTT